GACCCCCGTGGCTGGGGGATGAGAAGAGCCGGAGCACGCCGTCCCACAACACCGGCTCCTCTCACGTCCCCTCTGTCCGAGCGGTGACCCCCGCAGCCCTCTGGCCCTGGCGGGACAGGGACTCTGGTGCCTGGTACAGAGAGGAACAAGCAGGAGGACATCTCCGGGGGGTTAGCAGTTCCCCTCTGCTGGGAGAGGGAGCTTGCCCTTCACGCTTATAGTGCCGGTGTTCAAGCCCCTCCGCCCGTTAACCCTGCATGCAAAGGCTGGGGGTGTGTTGGGTCCCCCCCAGCCTGGCACCGCAGGAACAAGCAAGCGTATCTTGTGAAATGTTGGGCACTTTGCAGTGCGGGGTTTCCTTGTCTCTCCAGATGAGGCTGATGAACTGGAGCACTTGGTGACGTCGCGGACAGAGTCTGTGAGCATCGACCACCCAAACCACATTGTAACAGTGACCACCATCAGCGACCTGGACCTCTCAGGGGCGTGCCAGCTGGGACTGACCACCCCTGTGGTAAAGCCTCGTGCTGCTTCTCTGGTTCTATCAGCTATAAACATTCGTAGGGCTGGCTAAGTACACCTGGCACTCCCTGAACATGCCCAAAGACTGGCTGGGAGCAGGGAAAAGGGAAACTCATAACTTCACATTCTTCCGCAACTTATGTTGAGCCTCAAAAGAGGAAGAAATGTCCTCTGTGAACAGCTCACTCCAAACCTCCTTGTAATCCCTTGCCTTGTCTTAGCTGACCTTGTGTGAGTGAAAGGTGTCACAGGGCTGGATGGGGACAATGTAGCATTTTAAAAGCTGATAAAACACAAGCAGCAAGATTTCAGACCTTGCTGCATGGGCTGTCTTCAACCTCTTACCTGTGTCTTGTTCAGGAAAAATTACTATTAGCATGAGGATGGATTTTTCTCTCTGTGATCTTGTGCTTGGACCACAAATAAGGAAACCCTTCAGTTCTGGTTGTGGTTGCTTTTATTCTCAGAACATATTGTAACCAGGCACTGGTTGACTTGGTCCTTTTGATCTTCATGATTCATGGCTGGATCTGAGCTCTTTGGGGAAGTGTCTGTGTTAACCTTTTACACTCGTAAGGTCATCTTCTAACCTGAAAATCCACCTCTTTCGAGGTTTTGATAGTAATGTAAGAAAAAAAAGTTGAAACCTTCAGTTCATAGTTTAGACTTCAGTTGCATGGCCGTTAAGGTCATACTGAAGTTTTTGGATCTTCGGGTGGATTACTGTAGGACTTCTCACTGGTTGTCCCTTTCTGAGGGCCTGCAATAAGAAACTTTGACATTTGGACAGCAAGATCTGTGGAGAATTAAAAAAGACTTCATCCGTGACTAGATGGTTCACAAAACAGGATGAAACCAAGAAGGCAGCAGAAACACCGGAATCAGAAGACTGCCTGTTTTAGTGTGTCTGTAGGGATTTTTTTTTTTTCCCCTCTTCTGCTTTCTTTTTAAGGGAAAAAGCGATGGATCAGAAGAAGAGAAAGGGGAAGAGGTGGTGAACAAGCCTGTAACAACAATGCCCAAGAAGTCCAGAAACCCCTTCCTGTCTGAAAAGTATGTATGGATTCATTCAGCTCTTTGCTCTGAGGCTCTGCAAGTTGATCGGGAGGGTCTTGTGTTCCCAGATCAGCCGTGTGGTTGCAGGGAGGGGATGCTGTACTGCCTGGACATCCGTGGGCAGGAGCCGGCAGAGGGCACTGGCAAAGCTCAGGCCTGTCCCAGACGCTCCATTCCCATCACGGTTATCCCTGGTGGCAGCAGCAGCGGGATGCGGTGCGGGGCGGGCTTTGTCCTCGACTGTTTACCTAGTCTTTCTCCAGATATGGCAGGCAAGGGTGTATTGCAGGGTGCAGAGTCTGTCTCAAAGACTGAAGGTCAGAAGACCCGAAAGCTTTGACATTCTCCACATTTTTCACTATCTAGGATTTACAGCCGCTTTGGGGATTCAGAGAATTACTTAACTCTCTAGTGGCTGGGCAGCCCCACTGCTCAGAAAATTCATTTTGGTTGTTGTTGCACGTGTGGACTTGCAGGTTTTCTGCCCTGTCAGGACAGTGCCCGGCACAGTGAAGCTCCCCTGGGGCCTTGCTGTGGCTGGGGGGCCTTCCCACAGGGCTCTCCTGCTACTGCTGTGGTGTCGCCTTGCAACTGCAGACTTTGGTCCCCAAACATTTCTCTCTTCCTGCCCTGCACAGGATCTCTTCTCTTACTGCTATGCTGCATATGCACAGCTGGAAAAAGACAAAAGGAAAGAGACCCCAACGTGGGCAAGGCCCACGCAAGAAAATCCAGAAATCCAGCAGGGGGCGAACCACGAAGACTCAGCGACGGAGGCTGACGGGCAAAATGGGCCGTGACCAAGATTAACAGAGAAACTAGTGCAGCTGGGACAGCATTCCACATCTGGCCTGCTGCTCTTTGCAGCCCCTTCCTTGTGGGCAAGGACTTTGTTTACTTGGCACTCTGACCTGCAGTGAGCCCAGATCAACCTTTCTCTCACCTCCTGAGCACTAGCCAGGACCACTAGATGCTATACCCATTTATTTCTGCAGTGATCTCCAGCTGAGTGTCTGGGTGCCACAGAGTCTCTAAAAACTTCTGCCGGGGGTCAGATTCTCTATTTGCTATAACCCTTCTGTCCTTGGGCCTCTCCTTCCAGAGCTGATATTTGGCTTTATCAAAGGAGAGGATCTGGGGCTAAGTGCAGCAGGCACATTGTCAGGGCAATTTATGTGCTCAGG